AACTGTGGGCTCATTGATGGCGGGGATCAAGTTTGTCTTCTGTCCAAAGGAACGAGTGTCTGTTGATTGAGTGAAGCATAGAGTGAGTGAACAAAGAGACGTTCATTTGGACGCCAGGATTAGGTGCGAGTTCCCCAGTTCTTCTCACGTAACCGCACCCCCACCTCATATCAGCCTCCTCCGAGGGCCCTGCTGCAGCCGGTGCTGGGTCCTGGGAAGGCCCCCGGAGGCAGTGGCTCGCGAGGAAAGAGTCCTTTCCTTTTCTACCCTGACTTCCTCCTCTTTCCCCTCTAGGTCTCAGAGCGGCCGCGGAGCCTCCCCCCCGCCCCTGAATCAGAGAGCTCCCCTTGACACCCTCTGGCAGGGCCCACCCGAATCCCAGGGCTGAGACGTGAGGGAGCAAAGAGCCTGAGGAGTGCCACGCTCCGGCTGGTCCGGGACATGTGGAGATTCGGACTCAGGGAGAGACTGGGCTGGGGAGCCACTGGGAGGCTGAGTCCCCGGGACCTGGGAACCGGACTCCCAGCCCTCATCCCGCCTTTCTCCTCTACTCCCAGCCCATCCTGTGCGGGCCACTGGGAACAGAATGGTCCCCCTTCCGCTGTGGGCCGGGGGCTCTTCTGTCCTGGTGTCCAGGGATGATTGTGCCAAAGCCCTCGTTTCCAGTGCCAAGCCTCGGGGTTTGGAAGAGTCAGGGACGGAGAAGGGCCAGGTCCCTGGCAGCAGACTCAGGTCTGGGCTGTGCACTGTCCAGCCCCCAGGAGGCCAAGTTGGGGCATATCCCAGTCTCTGCTCAGGGACCGGGCGAGAAGGACAGGCTCTGAGCCAGAGGAAAGAAGCGAGAGAAGCAGGGGGCAGGATGTAGGTGAAGGAAGTGAGAGGCAAGTAGGGAGAGAGGAGGTGATAGTGATTAGAAGGAGGGAAAAGCCATGCAGAGGAGAGAGGGATAAAGGAAGATGGATGAACAAGAGAGACAAGGGGAGAGGGAATTGGGGGAACACACCCACGGGTCCTTTCTCTGGGGAGGAGCTGGGTGGGGTTGGGAACAGGGAGAGGCTCAGTAAGCCAACTGACATTGTCATCTAATCCGTCCGGAGGAGAAGAGAATTCCTAAGCAGGGATGGGACGGGGAGGGTATTTATACGGGCTACCTGGTGGGAGATGGGCGCCCGACCGATCCACTGGCGGGTCTCCAGGCACACTTTGGCCCTTCCCCAAAAAGGGGGGTCCTTTTTCTCAAAGCTTCAACCAACTGTGTATTAGGGGATCATAGGGGACATTTTATTATTGAGCACAGTCATTATTATTATTATTATTATATTACTATTTTTATTAAACCTCCCCCTGCTGATGAGTGAGGGGCAAAGTAAGTATTTATCTCCTCAAATGCCCTATTCCCGGGAGGGGTCAACCCCGATGCTCTGCGATGCAGGAAGGAAACAATAAAGACAACTTTGTAAGTTGCTGGCCTGGCCGCCTGGTTGTGTCTTCCTGGGGTTCAGAAAACGGGGAGGGTGGGGGAAGGACCAGAAATGGAGGAGGAGGAGGGAGGGTATCAAAGCAAGTTAAAGACCAAGTTGTCTTCCCTGTATTTTCAGGGATCAGGTGACACATACAATGGGGGTAAATGAAAGTGTTTAATAACAAAGGGATGGTAGCAGTGAGGAAACCCATGGGGGAGTGGGAATGCCCCAGACCCCAAGTAGCAGGAACAGGCAGTGGTGATGGTAGCAGTGAGGAAACCCATGGGGGAGTGGGAGTGCCCCAGACCCCAAGTAGCAGGAACAGGCAGTGGTGATGGTAGCAGTGAGGAAACCCATGGGGGAGTGGGAGTGCCCCAGACCCCAAGTAGCAGGAACAGGCAGTGGTGATGGTAGCAGTGAGGAAACCCATGGGGGAGTGGGAGTGCCCCAGACCCCAAGTAGCAGGAACAGGCAGTGGTGCTCCCTGAAAAGAGCTGTGGCTCTCAGAAGAAGAACTTGGCCGTGGCTGAGCAGGAAGGCACCCCAGGAAATAAATTCCTCCTCCCCAGCTAGAGCTTCGTTTTACTGCAGGTCCTAGAAGGTGGCCTCGGGGCTTCTGAGCTGTGAGGCTGCTGAGAGCAGGGAGGAGGAGGAGGGGTCTCACTTGTACTGTGACTGGGCAAGACCCAGGTGAGGCAGAGCTGGATGAGGAGGGAGGGGGAGACCTGGGCCTGGGATCAAGGCAGGCCTGGGGGACTGGCAGGGCTCATGGCAGGCTCTACAGCTACAAGTACCAAAGGCCCAGGTGTCATGTCAGGTTGGTGATAGGGGTTGGGGGTGCCCATGGAATTCCAGGGCCTGGGTAGGAGCCCAACCCTGAGAGTCAGACAACCTGGATTCTAGTCTAGCTGTGCAGTCATGAGCAAGTTACCCGACCTCTCTAAGCCCCGGTTTCCCCTTTGGCAAGTGGGGATCATAAAGCCCATCTCAGGGGTGGTTCCGTTGAGATTTGGTGAGATGAGTGTAAAACGCCTTTGCCCCACTCAAGAAATGTCTCTTCTCTTAAGATGCAGAAACCCAACTCGAGGGCCCAGGGAATCTGAGGCCCCTTGCAAACTAAGACCTCCAATCATCCGCCCTAGCACCCAGCAATAATTTAGTCAAAAGACTTTCATATTTTGTAAGAATTAATTTTCTTCAGCCCTCACCGGTTTGGCTCAGTGGATAGAGCGTCGGCCTGCGGACTGAAGGGTGCCAGGTTCGATTCCGGTCAAGGGCATGTACCTTGGTTGCGGGCACATCCTCAGTAGGGGGTGTGCAGGAGGCAGCTGGTCAATGTTTCTAACTCTCTATCCCTCTCCCTTCCTCTCTGTAAAAAATCAATAAAATATATTTAAAAAGCCACCAGCAACAACAACCACCTTATATTTTACCCTCTTCCCCTCCCCCTAACTACCATCTTATTTTTCTCCTTCCCTTTGCTGCAACGCTCCCTGACAGAATTGTGTATTATCCCTCTCTCCAATTTTTTCCTCCCATTTTTCATTTATTTATTAGGGGGGGGGGGAGGAGAAACATCCATTTTGTTGTTCCACTTATTTATGCATTCGTTGGTTGCTTTTTGTGTGTGTGTGTGTGTGAGAGAGAGAGAGAGAGAGAGAGAGAGAGAGAGAGAGAGAGAGAGAGAGAGAGAGAGAGAGAGAGAGAGAGAGAGAGAGAGAGAGAGAGAGAGAGAGATCTGTTGCACTCATTCATGTCTTCACTGACAGGGGATAGAACCTGCAACCCTGGTGCATTGGGACAACACTCCAACTGAGCTAACTGGCCAGGGCCATTGGTTGGTTCTTTTTACTTTTGATTTTTTTTAAAATTGACTTTAGAAAGTGAGAAAGGAAGGGAGGAGAGAGAGAGAAACATTAATTGGTTGCCTCCTGCATGCCCCCTACTGGGGACTGAGCCCGGAACCTGGGCATGTGCCCTAACGGGGAATCGAACCGGAGACCTCTTGGTGCATGGGACGACGCTCAGCCAATTGAGCCACACTGGCCAGGACTGGTTGATTCTAGTATGTGCCCTGACTGGGGATTGAACCCAAAACCTTGGCGTACTCAGAGGATGCCCTAACTAACTGAGCTACTCGGCCAGGGCCTCCCATTTTTCATGAGCCCAAGAACTTTGGGCTTTTTCCTCTGAACTGCTCTTACTGGGGTCACCAAAAGGTCCCACAGAGCTAAATGCAGTCAGTCCTTGGTGCTCAGCTTGCTGACCTGGGAGCAGCATCTGACTACCCATCATGCCTCTGCTCCATGCCTGGTCTTCTGCACCAGACGCTCATCTGTTTTCCTCCCATTTCTCTGGCCGATCCCGCTCATGCTTCTTCTGGTTCCTCCTGGTCTCCCAACCTCAACACGAAGGGGAACACAGAACTCAGCACTTGGCGATTTCATCTCCATATACCTTTCACACAGCTGCCCCTAATGTTAATATCTTACACAACCATGTACATTTGTCAACACTAATTGATGAAAATTATGAATGAAGCTACAGACTTTATTTGAATTTCACAAGTAGAGCTTCGAGGCGCCCAAGACTTGACTGTTGTGTTTTCTTTCTTTTTAAATAAAATAAAATAAAATAAAAACAAAATCCCTTGTGTCGAGGGCTGACTTTCAATAGATCGCAGCGAGGGAACTGCTCAGCTACATACGAAACCCTGACCCAGAAGCAGGTCGTCTACGATTGGCTTAGCACCAGGTTCCTGACGAACATGCGTCCATTGCATGGAGGGTGAGGGGTGGATTGGTTTTAAAACTGAAAGTTGCATATGCCCGTAGTCCCCTCAGTCCTGGGCAGATTGGGGCAGTCGGAAACCTATTCACCAGCTTTTCCATTAATGTCCTTTTTCCGTTTCAGGATTCAGTTCACCATATTGCATTTAGAGGTCCGGTCTCTTTAATCTCTTCTAATCTGCAACAGTTTCTTAGTCTTTCCTTGTCTTTCATGACCCTGAGACTTTTGAGAAGTACTGGACAGACAGGTATTTTGTTGAACGTCCCTCAGTTTTGGTTTGGTTTGCCGGATGTTTTCTCATGATCAGACTAGGCTTATGGATTTTAGTGGGGTTTTTTTGTTGTTAATCCTCACCTGAGGATATTTTCTCCATTGATTTTAGAGTGTGGAAAGGAGGGAGAGAGGTGGGGGGAGGAAGGGGGAGAGAGAGAGGAAGAGAGAGAGATGGATGTGAGAGAGACATCAATTGATTGCGTGCCCCGACGGGGGCTGGGGGTCGAACCTGCTACCGAGGTAGGTGCCCTTGACCAGAAATCGAATCCGTGACCCTTCAGTGCAAAGTTCTAACTATGGAGCCACACTGGCCAGGGCGAGGCTTATGGATTTTTGAAGAAGAAAAGCCACAGAGGTGAAGTAGGGCAGACATTTGATCTGCTTTATTCACTGTTTCGTATCCAGTGCCTAGAACGGAGTGCCTGGCCCATTGCAGGCACCAGAAATGTGTCTGTTGAGTGAGGAAGGGTATGCATGACCGACTCTGCAGAAGTTATTGAGGACCGTGTGGAAGGTTTACAATGTGAACGTAAGTGCTCTCCTATCAAACATGTTGCACCGCAGTTTTGTGTTTTCCTTCAACACTGTCCTGTCGAGCCGTTCCAGGACGCACAGAGCTACTTCACGTTCCTAACCTTTGCCCGTTACAAAGAACTGCGTGGCTCTGTAGATGGATGCGCCTCTGTGCACATGCGTGCGGCTGTTCTCACGGGCAGAGCCGGGGAAGCATCGCCAGGCACAGGGCAGGCTCCCTGACGTGTGGCGGACATTGAGCGGCGTCCGCCCGGGGCGCCTGGGCACCGTCACCCCAGCAGCACTAGGAAGAAGCACCGTTTCCTCAAGTCTGGCCGACACGGCATCAGTAGCTCAGGCGCAGTGACCGCCCGAGGACGCCCGGACGCCTTCCGGACCACATCTCCCAGGATACCCTGCGGCCCCTCGGCCACCTGGCTGCGTCGAGCGGAGTGACCAATCCCCGAGAAGCTCGGAAAGGCGGCGCCACCTCCACGCCTCACCTACCGTCCGGAGCACCCGGAGCGGCGACTACCACTCCCATAAGCCCCGGTGGACGGGCGCCGCTGGCCACCATTTCAAGGCTCCGCAGGGGTGGGCGAGGGCCCGGATCCCGCTTCCCGGCAGGCAGTGCGGCCGCGGGCGGAACTCCATTTCCCAGCAGCCTCCAGGCGGCGGGCGCCGCGGTGCCTTGTGTGGGATGTAAGCGCGGAGGTGGGCGCGGGGGACCGCAGCCAGGACTCTTCTTGGGATTTGGGGGGCTTGGCCAGAGGGTGCCTTTCGGAGGGACTCCAGGGCCCGGGGGTACGGGTGCAGAGAGGCACCGGGGCGGCCATTGGCGGTCCTCAGCGGGGTTCTA